AACAAGGCTTACTGGCCATCTCACCTTCTTGCATTCTTGTGGAGGACATCTACAGCGCTGCAGTGCCGCGCATCTCCTTTCCAACACAAGACGCCAAAGGCGTCACTTGAAGATCGCGGTCAGAGTCAACTTCAAAAAGCCCCCTAAGCAGCTTCTTTAGCAATGGGTTACAGTTTCTAGCATAAGGGTAGGGACTACTACATAGTAGGGGATCCATTCCCTGCTTCCCTACTGCACAACCCACCCAAGCCCTCAAACCTGCATGAAATAGCACTTTCCATTTTCGTCTCCATTACCTACTAAGCATGAGGTATTTCTTTTCATGCGTATTCTATGCCTTCTTGAGAGCTCACAGGCTGAAAGCCAAGGGCGAGGCTCCCCACTGGTCTTGGCCTACACGCGAACACTTCGCTTCGGGGTTTACGGCTATGAGGCTTAGCCTGCAAGTTCACGGTTTAGGGTTTAAGGCTCCAGACGTTCATGTCAATGTACATTTGGGTTCGAGGCTTCATGCACTCTCCTCTTGCGGATGCTTGGCTCCCAAAAAGTGCCAGCCTGAACGCCATGGGGACTCCAGGCGCTGCTGGAATCATACCTGTGCTCACTGCATGCAAGGCTTAGAAGAAATCTTGGGGCGCGCATGTGAGTAGTGTTTTTTGGTGGTTGAACCTAATAAGAAAACATTCCTTATATAAAATACTATACCCCAAAAGGAGGATATAATCTTACTCTATATTGGGTAGGATAGTATCCCCAAATTAAATACTATCATGTGGTCTTGCCTTCCACCTTGCTGATGTTCTCAGCTTCTAGTCTCTGCCGCCATCTGTTGCTTTGATCATCTTCTCTCTCCTACCCGTACCCTGCTCCCTCTGCGCCTGTGTCACCTTTCTTCTGTGCTTCATCATGAGCAGCTTGCTTAGTGCAGCAACGTCGTATCCACAACAACGAAAGTCAAACGTGCCTTCGGTTTAAAGATTTCTCCTGTCCCCAGAAACCTCACGCGCCATCGAGTGGAATTCTCCAACAGCAACCACAATTCCAGACAGTACGGTAAGCCCTGACCTGCTGCTTACATGTACTTCCATTTTGGGTGGCACACTATAATCCTTGCCAGGCGAGTCAAACCAGTGGCATGGCCATTTTGGGAAATTCCCATGTACCCTGCAAGCCTGTCATGGCAACTTCCGTGGCAGCGCCAGGCCTGAAACTCGCGTTTACTGGTGCTGCCGGAGGCATGAAATTGGTATCCCTGAGCCCTAAGCGAAAGGTTACATCAACAAGGAAGTTCAAGATGTTAAAACTTGACACTGCAGATTGCTACCGTCACCCCCAAAATCCCAGCCCTCCACTTGAAGGCCAAACTGTAAGCAAGCGAGGCAGCAGGGACCAAGAAGACTTGCGGTGACAGCTGCAGCTATGAAGCTTCGGCAACCACAGTCTGGACAACAGCTTGATCAGCAAGATGCACTTAATTGTCTTTCCGTCCTTGAGGGCATTTGCTGGTTGCGCTTCAGAATCTGCTGTCTTGGCAAGAGTAACAGCCAGTAGGCTTGAGTAACATCAAAAAAGGCCTGAGCTAAAAAGATCGAATGATGATATCTGCCCCATCAAGTGCATGGCCTCAATCTGGACAATCCCCCAGGCTTCAAGACCGGAAAAAAAGAAACGACTGGAAACGACTCGTTTCTCAGCTCTATGCTCAACCACCACCCAGGAGCCTGGCTGGAGTGATCTTCGGCAAAAGCCAGGGATGGAAAGGCACGATTCCGGGCTTGGGTAAATAAATAAATCAACGTATACACAGATGTACATATACAGGGTTCACTGTTTGGGTTGTACTGGGTTTAGAAAGCTCCGACTCCAGCACGCAGTTTTCGATCTTTTCTGGGTAGTTTGTCGTTTTCATATGAGTGCAGATGCCGACAGGCTACTGAATCTGGGAATTACAAGTAGGTTCCTTGCTGGCGCTTCAGAATGAATCGGAGAATGAATTATCGGCATTTTCTCAGAGTACTTTTTGGATTATACAGGGGTAGTCTCAGAATGACGAGATTTTTGGCGCTCATTCAGGCTTCTACCGTAGGTTCCGGAGTTTCGGGTAGCTGACGGCTGCGGGCTGCATGTCTCTCGGATAGCCTTTGAACGCTTTGTCAGGTATCATGAGCAATGGGACACCAATTAATGAATCCTTCGAAAGCAGTCCTCGTTTCCACATTTTGGGTAGAACTGTTTCGGGCTGCGACTGTAATTTCTACAATGAGGGTGTAGGTATTGCTGCTGAACTTGATGATGAATCCTTGATTTCGTCGTATAGACGCAAAAGCAGACGTGTTATCAGCCCACGATGTACTTCTCTAATGCTAACTCTTGCCTTGATGTGCCTGGCCATATGCCCACATGGCCTCAACAGCTGACAATCTCAAACTCTGGAGGAAGTCTTCAGATCTTTTTGATCAACTCAGGTCTTGGCTTGCCCACAACTACCCAGGCATCAGGTAGCCGAGGAAGGTCATAGCTGTAAGGGGTTGGTATACTACTCGAAAGGTGGCATGCTACAGGTATGGAAAAATTCCCTGGGCGTACGCAAGTGGAAATGCTTGACAACCATGTAGCTTTGCAACTTCATGTGGTCGAAAGGTTGTATGCGGGGACGGGCTAAATTGGTTGTTGAGGAAGTGTCTGCTTGCCATGCCAGTCCTCACCTGACCGTGTGGAACAATGGTCAGGGTCTAAGGCGTCAGTGTCCAGGGCTTGACCAAAATTCTCGGTCTAGCTTGGATTCATTTTACCTTCGAAACTGTGAAAGGTTCTCCACTCACGCGCAAAGAAATCTAATTCTAGCGATGTGATCATAACACTCGCAAGGCAAGCCTTCAACTGCACATTGTAGCTTGAGCCGGGAAACCTTCATGGTTCTGACAGATGTGACAGAGCAGTGCAGACTCTCCAAAAGTTGCCGTATTGCTTTGCCAAGCAAGTTCACCAATTTCAATTACTTGCCAAATACCCAGAGCGGCAAGAATGGCAAGCCTCAAGAATAAACGCCCAGGTCTAGAACCGACTTCATAGGGGCTTGAGACCTGAACCTCCCCCTGTACATGGGCTTTCCGGCAACCCTCCTTTCGTCTTGGAACTTCAACTATTCCCCAAACCCTGCCCTTCGTCTCATCCCCCTGTGCTGGGGTCTCACCCCACCGCCCTTATCTCTGAACTTTCCCGCGTCACACCGCATCCCATCCCTACCCGAATAGCATCATGCTGGCAGACAAGAGAACCTAAAAGGCTGGGCGCAGTGTGGCACCAAGGAGTCCAGAAGCACGACCTTGAATTTCAAATGTCGCGACGGTGGCTTTATTTTGTTTCCTCGATGTCCCTTGTATGCGTAGGTCCACTGGCCTCCAAGAGTCTGTCAGGGGCATTCCAGGCACCCAAATTTGATAAAGCTTCAAACCACGCGATTGTACATGGCCCCCCAAAACTCGATCACCTATAGTGTGTTCGATTTGCCAGGTGCAATACCGCAGCTGCTTGTACTGTTGAAGGAGCTTCGCACTCAGACATCAACAATGAGTGGAAATCGGTGAACAACACCTCGGAACTAAAGCTGATGCTGATTACTATGCATGGATCCACACCTTCGCAGCTTTCAAAATCCATTTTGTCTGGCGCTCAACGAATGCGAAGCCACACGTGCGATCTCTTGGAGATGCTCCATGTGGATCAATGATGTCGTGAGACGCTATCCTAGCTAATGCACACATGTCTACCACCCAGAAGGGCTTTAAGCAGGAATGTGGCCAGGGTTTATAAGGTTAGAATAGGTTTACAATCTTGCTTACAAAGACTTGCTCATGCCTCTCCTAAGACAGGATGGGCACAGGATGGTTTTTGGGCTGACGCTTGTGGATCATCATGGACATTTCTAGATAGGGAAACATGGACGAAGGATATGCACTTTGTCGACCAATTCCGGCTACGTACTCCTACTCAACCTACTATGTGCTCAGGACAGGGACTTCTGACCTTGGCTGCCTTGTGACGGCGCAGCTTTGAGCACATGACCTTAGCGCCGCAGTTCTGCGTCTGCCTCGACTTGCACATCCCGGAATCCCAATCCCAAGAACTGACCGGTGCCTATCAGAAAATGGATGTCTACAGTAGGTCCTCTGTAGACCCGGCAATCATCCCTATTATCCATTCCATCACGAGGGAGACAAATCCGAGAGGGCGCGCAAGCGCCAACGAGAAAAGAATTTCCCGCGCCGACTGACATACGCCAATCTACGACAAAAAAACCATCTCGACTAATTTCCTGCTTGCATGAAGCGCTAGCTGGCACGCACTGTTTTATCGCGCCCGCAGCCAGTCTTTCTCGACGCCTTACCTGTCCACATCCAGAGACCTTTGACCCTCCAGCCCACCCCCTCAAAGGACGTCAGTTTTCACCCCAAAAAATGCATACCTGTCCAAATCCAGAGACCTTTGACCCTCCAGCCCACCCCCGCAAGGCTTGCACACGCCACATGTACAAGTGTATAATTAGTCGGGGA